TTGAGTCATTGACCACAACTCTTTGGGTGAGACTGTCTAGCCAACATAGAAAAAAGACAGTTGGCCAGCTTCCATTCTCTGCTAATACTTCAGACAGAAAAACACATTTGCTGCCTAGGTTAAGACTTTTTCCTAAAAAAAAGTCTCTCTTAGCTGTTAGTATATATATCTGTTTAAAAAAATTTTATGTATATATATTGGGATAGTTTTCAGGGATGACATGTTTCATACGTAAGCCAGTTTAAACTAAAGAGCTGTTTGCAACACTGAGTTGTACTGATACATATGTTTGTGTAATGGTTGGATTAAGTACTCTAGAAAAACAGCAGTTTTAATCCTGGTCCCTTCAGTTGTCTGGTTTCTAGTTTGGCCCCATTATCAGGCAGCGTCTTGCCTTAAGTAATTTTCAAGAGGATTGTGAATAGGGAGTACCACAGAGAGCAAATACCCTCTTTAATTTCATCAGCAGTTGTCTGAGTTTACTGGATTGGGAATACCAGAAGCAACGGGAACACTTGCCCTGTCTGTTAAACTATGCTGACATTTCCTAAGGCAATACTTAAGCAAGCCCTGACTTCACCTGCTGTCATTAAGTATTTTAATTAGAATAGCTGGGAGTGTGGTTTAGATTCAAAGAGCGTCTGGATGATGCTCTTAGTCATATGATTTCGTTTTAGGTAGTCCTGTGAGGAGCAGGGACTTGGACTCGATCCTTATGGGTCCCTTCCAACGTGAGATATTCTATGAGCTAATGGAGTATTTGGGGGCCCTAGTGACACAGGATGTGGAAAAAATCTGAGGTACTGAATGCCTTCTTCACCTCAGTCTTTACTAGCAATGCTGGCTTTTGGGATCCCAGGCCCTAGAGATCAGGGAGAGAGTCTGGAGCAAGGAATATGTACCTTTGGTGGAAGAGGAGCAGGTCAGGGAACACTTCAGCAAACTGGCCATGCATAAATCCATGGGCTTGATGGGATAAACTCATGAGCGCTGAGGGAGCTGGTAGGTGTCATTGCGAGCCAGTTAGTCTTTGAATGATCATGGTGACTAGGAGAAGTGACTGAGGACTAGAAGAAAGCAAGCATTGCTGTGATCTTCAAAAAGGAGGAGCCAAGGAACTATAGGCTGGTCAGCCTCACTTTCACCCTGGGAAGGTGATGGATTAACTAATCCTAGGAACCATTTCCAGGCATATGAAGGACAAGAAGGTCATCAGCAGTAGTCAGGATGGATTCATCAAGGGGAAGTCATGCTTGGCCAGCTTGATAAACTTCAGTGATGAAATGGCTGGCTTTGTAGACAAGGGGAGAGCAGTGGATATTGTCTACAAGTCCTTGTCTTCAGTAAGGCTTTTGCTGTTTTCTCCTGCAAGATCCTCAAAGAGAAGTTAATCAAGTATGGGCTTGATGAGCATCCTTGAGATACTCAGAGGAAGCCTGGAGTTGGTCCTGGGCAACTGGCTCTGTGTGGCCCTGCTGGAGCAGGGGGTTTAGACAACATGACCTCCAGAGGTCCCTTCCAACCTCAGCCATTCTGTGATTTTTGTGAAAGTGGATGCTGTAGTTTCAGTGTTGAGCAGCAGGCAGTTCATAGCACCTTGTATTGCTTTGCTCCTGTCGCTGCTCTCCAGGAAAACAGCAGAGAAAGTAGCATCTATGAAACTTATCTGTCCCTGTCCCTTTGTTTCAAAAACTCCCCGTGCTATTTTTGCATTTTTGAGCCTGGCATTCCTTCATTTTTACTTTCATCAGATCTTCAGTCTTAATATTATTTTGTACCTGTAAAAGGTTAGCAACACTTGTTGAGCAAGCAATCAAAATGTTTTTTTCTCCACCCCTGCCCCACTACCTTTCAAAATAATGGTGAATGAAAACAGAAATATTTGCAAAAGTTTTATTGATAGTGATAGATTAAAAAAAAAAAAAAAGCTGAACCTTTGCTTTGTAGGGCAAGCCAATAAATTTAAAATGTAGTAAACACTAGAGCATAAAGGCAGTTTAGAGGGTAGTGTAGAAGGTAATGAATTTACTGCACTTGTGCATTCTTAGTGAATGTCTTGAAATTGATTTAGTCCTACGTTTTAATAGTCTGTTTTCTCCTATATTTTAAAAATTCATTTTTGAAAATTAATGTGTGCTGCTCACCTTGAAGAAAAAAAATCCCTGTGGTTCAAATAAGTTGCTTCTAGCTTTCTCTCTTGGGAATCATAACAGTTTGTCAAATTCACTAGAAAGACAGGTTCCCTCATACATGCTTGAAATAATGAGTAACTAGCTCTCTTAAAGGCTTGTTTCTGAAATGATAAGAAGCCTACAAATCATACAAAGTCAACAGGCACAAGGGCAAAATTAAACATGTGAGAGTAGTATGGGAACTGTATGAGGAGTATAAAAACTCTTTGCAGGAGTTTGTTTCAGAAGACCAGTCCATGTTTCTCAGTGCATTGCCTTTCATCAGTTTCAAAAATAAAGGAATTCAGCTTTGAGGAGTTTTTCTTCAAAAGAAAAAGTGGAGAAACAAGTACTTGCACTTCATGTAAAATGAAATACTTAAACTTTGAAAGTATCTGTAGTTTTAAAGGGACCAAAGGCTTCGTTTTGTTCATTAATTCCTGTGCTGTGAAGTGAACCTTGGTACAAAAATCTCTTAAATGGAAGCTTCAGCTACTGATTCTTGGGTACTGTGTATGAACCAAACGCTAATTCAGGTGCATGAAATACAAAATGGCTTTGTGCTCTGACTCTTTTGCTGATACAGACTTTTTTCTCTTTAAAGGTCAGTCCTATGAAATACGGATGCTAGATAATCGGAAGGCTGGAGACATGCCAGAGATCAATGGAAAACTGGTGAAGGTGAGCTGAAGTTCTCTAGATGGTGTTACAAAAAGGGTAGTTTTTCACCTTTGATTGTACTCTGATTCACGGAAGGAGGTCTCTCACAGAGGAGGATCTGAGGATGGTCTCTGCTTGAAGGTGTGATCCTGGGCCACAGCTTCCCATTGTTTCTGCACCTTTTATAGACAGAAGTTCTCAGGTCTCTGCCTAACTTTCTTCAATAAGCATCAGAAGTGAGGGAGGTGCCTCCTTAATTTGCATAGGAAACTGTGAGGGATGTTTCCTTTATTTGTGTGGGAAGAACCTTAATTGTGTGAATGGGTATGGGGGGGGAAGGGGCAGAATTAACCTTTTCAATTCATGGGGACAGTGGTTGTGCAGACCCTGTATTAGATTAACTTTGGCTGAGCTTTCCTTCTTAGCATCTCTTGTTAGCAAGGGAAGGAGGCCATAAGTCATTCCATACTTCTTCTTCTTCTTAGCAAGGAGTAGGATTTAGGTCCCTCAGCAGACAATTTACAGTACAACTGAGATGTTCAAGACAAACCATATGTTTATAAGGCCTTTGGCAGACATTTGCCTTTCTCCTTCTCAGGGCCTTTGGCCAGTAATTACGGTCTTATGTAACAAACCAGTTCCTCCTGTAGTCCCTAACAGCATTTCATGGTGGTGAAGGCGGCTGCAGATGCTTCCAAGTTCCAAACTTGCCAGTTTGCCATGAAAAAGGAGCAGTATTTGTGTGTACATGTGTGCAGGTACACACACACATGTGCTTTCTCACCTTTGACATAACACCAAGGAAATGCAATGTATCCTGAAGAGGCACTTAATTTAAAAGTTCTTGGGCTTTTTGGATACTTTAATCCACTGTTAATACAAGTAAGACTGTACACTAATGGAAAAAAAGATGAGGCAAATTTGTCTGTGTATTGTTTGCTCAGTAGCAATTCACATGTACAGCTTTTTCCCCTCCGTATAACATGTGCATTCATGCAGCAGAATAGAAACTTTTTTTTTAAATGACATAAGCACAGTTGTAGCAGAACTGGTCACAAAAATAGGTACTGTTGGATAAGTGCTTCTGGCTGAATAAAGTTAATTGTGTTGTAGTAATTTTAGTTTAATATTTCAGCTAGAACAGTTGGAATAGTTTGGAAGTTGTTTATTACTACTTACTGTTAATTAAAATTAAAACCATAGATTAATTGTAAATATGTTTATAAATATTAGGAAGGGAATTTTCTATTCATTTTATTTCTTAAAAATTTCTACAAAAATTCACAAATTCCCATTGGAAAAAACAGTCAAACTATATTCACCACTTCTCGGAATAAGTTAAATCCTATGTGTTTGTTTTCCAAAATAAGTTGGTGTTGCCTACACAGCGTTGATGCTGTGCTGTCGGTGTTCCTCAGTTCACTGAATGTAATTCATAGTGACCTTTAGAATATGCAATGATATGTAATTCTCTTTTGCATTTTTACTACATTTTCAAATATGTCCTGCTGCTCAGTTCTATTTCTGTGTTCTGGAGTATTTTGGGATGCTGATGGTTGCCAGTTTCTTTGCTGTGAGTATGTATTTATCAGCACTGTGGCTCTTTTGGAATGTTTTAGTGCTTTATCTAAAGGCTGTTTCTAAACACGTAGTAACTTTGTGGCTCATCAGATGCTTGTTTTCGTCTTTGTTAGAGTATTATAAGAGTTGTGTTCCATGACAGAAGGTTGCAGTATACAGAGCACCAGCAGCTAGAAGGTTGGAAGTGGAACCGCCCTGGGGACAGACTTCTTGATTTAGGTATTATTGTTTCTATCTGTCGCCACTGCATGAAATTCAATTTCCAGATTTAAATTGATCATGATCACATTTATGCTAGGGCTGGTGAAAAAAAACAGACCAGTTTTCTGTGTGCTTCTTTTTCATAGTGTATATTTTGAATATAGATATTCTTACCACTTTCACATTCTTTTAAAACCTTTAAGTGTTAGAGAAGTAAGATGGCAATTCTGCAACCTTATTCATTTAGTAATTTTTCTAATTTTGATTACTGAGTGTTACAGTAATTAGCAGAACAGACAAAAGTAACCTTCTCTAGTAGATTTTGGAAATGGCACCAACGTGGTTTCTGAATTTTGCATAACTTGATCGTTTTTGGTGCATAAGCTTGGGGGGGGAGGGGGGCTGGAATCGGAAAACACCCCCAAACCTTGAGCACTTTGTATGTTGAGTCTACTACGATTCTTCAGATTAGTCCTAAGAAATAGTTTCTGGGCTTACGGTCAAGCCACCAAAGAACACATTTTCCCACCCTACCTGTGTTTGCTGATGGTAACCTTATATTAAAATTTATTTGTGGTGTTTTCTTGGAATATGATTATTTTGAAATATATACTGCTTATTTTAATAGATATTCCAATGTCTGTTGGAGTCATTGATATCAAGACAAATCCAAGCCAGCTCAATGCAGTTGAATTTTTGTGGGATCCAACAAAATGTACATCTGCTTTTATTCAGGTTTGAAACTTTACTTGACTGGATGTCTGTGTTTGGTGCCTTTCAGGTCACAAGCAGTAGTATATTTGCACTATGAAACTTCTTAGTTTCTTATTTCTGGGGTAGCCATTGAATACCGTCTTTATAAAAACGACAGGTTCATAGTTCTGTGAGGGTCCCTGGTTAGGTTTTTCAACTTGATCTGGGTTTATAAAACTACTAAAACCAATTTAAATAAAAGGCTTTCAGAAAGCTCTTTGAAGAAAGCTGTAATGGTTAAAATATTTAGTTATACAGAATATTAAAATTAATTTATATCCCTCTAAATAACTGTAACTACTACTTTTTTCATTTGAGAGGTCCACTCTCCTAGTGGTGAGCTTCAGCAAAGGCTTGGCTTGAGGATACAAAATGAAAAATAATGTGCTATAAAGAGCTTTAAATCAGACATTCAAAGATGTTTCTCACCATGTCGGTAGGCTTCCTTATAGTAGGATTTTTATTATTTATGTATTTGATATTTGGGGCAATAGAACATGCTTTCTTTGGAAATTATTTAGATAGAATGTTCAGTTTTGCATTGGAATTTGTAGCTTGATTTTGTCTCAGATCTGTTTTGATTACAAAATAAATGATAATAGGTATAAAGTTTGAGGTAGCAGCATTTCTTATTGAAGCTGCCAAAATAGGTTAAATTCCATATTGTCAGTAAATTAACTTTGATCTAGTACAATCAAAGACATTTTTCTAGCAAGAATTACATAATTACTAAAATGTAGTCTTGAAGAATTGCAAGATAAACTGCTGAATATTTTTGTTTATGCACTTCCTCAGAAGAAGTGATAACAGACTGATAACTCTTTCTGTTACACTGATTTTCTCCTTAGATATCTTGTAGGGGTATTTCTAGCTTAAAAACCCAGTCTTCAGACTAATATGTAGCACTTGAGGCAATTACATACCGATTAAAAAGTCTGCTGCCTTTTGTAGGAAGTTGAGCATATTTGAAAATACCCTGATTTGACGCGAGATCAAAAACTCTTCCGCAAGGCAGTGACCTTCTATAGGTTTGGTAATACTTATTGCAAGTAACTCTGAAGTTTATTGCATTGGACAGTAGTATCTTGAAAAAGTTTTTGCTATGTTCATGATAGATAGGGTTGTCTTCCATGTACATTTTTCTTAAGATCCAGCAAGTTCTTATTTAATAAGAATCTGTAGTGACTTTTGCTTTTTGGAGAGATTTCCCCTCTTCCCTGTCAGTTCAAATATAAAGTTTATGCCTTCATTTTGATGTGGGCATGAAAAGGATCGAAAGATTAGTTACGCAGCTTGGTCCTCAGGCTGGGTAATTTGTTACTTGTCCTTAGAGAATGTATATGATGTTGGTAACACATCATGAAATTCATGTTTTGAACACTTCTGAGGGTCCTTTTTTTTTGTGGTTGTTTTTTTTCCAGGTCCATTGTATTAGCACTGAATTTACCCCTCGTAAACACGGAGGAGAGAAAGGAGTTCCTTTTAGGATTCAGGTTGACACTTTTAAACAGACTGAAAATGGAGAATATACAGATCATCTGCATTCAGCCAGTTGTCAAATCAAAGTTTTCAAGGTAACAGTAGAAAACAGATCCTTAATAAGTGTCTCAGAACTTTCATAAAGATGGGGAACATCTTTATATTACCATTTGACTTCTGAGATCAAATTTCAATTATAAAACCATTGTCTGCCTACTTTCTTGTTCATGTAACTGTTCATTTTTAGCCAAAAGGAGCGGACAGGAAACAGAAAACAGACAGAGAAAAGATGGAAAAGCGAACTGCACATGAAAAAGAAAAGTATCAGCCTTCATATGACACCACAGTTCTTACAGAGGTAACAAAACAGAATTGCATCTGCTTACTGAGGAGAAAATACATAGATATAGCGTGTAACTTAGCTGCAGTCTTGGACGGGTTGGGGAAGAATTTGTTCTACACAAATACAAGCTTTTTATTTGACAAACTTGTCCAGTGAACAGCAACATTAAATTTTAAGATTTTGTTTAGTAAACTTCCATTTAGATACTCAATAGATGCTTGTATTAAAACACATCAAGCTTGAACACTGTTTGACTAGCTGTACTGAATCGTAGAGCAAGTATTTTGGTATAGATCTGAAAACCTTGCAGCTAAGAAACAAAACAAAAAAAGAGGGGGGAATCTAAAATTTATTTATCTGCCAAATTTGAGTGTCAAAATGTGTTTTTTGGAGATTACTGGATTTAAGGCCAGAGCCTCAGCAGGTTTTTGCATTTTCTTTTTATTTAAACATCAGTGAGTTCTATACAGTTTTCTAAAAATTTCAGAAGTTTGTAAAGGCTGTTAGATCTTTCCTCACTGTATGATGAAAAGAAATTGATCCAAATCTTTGGTGTTTGTCCAGATGAGGCTTGAGCCTATAATTGAAGATGCAGTTGAACATGAGCAGAAAAAGTCCAGCAAGCGGACTTTGCCAGCAGACTACGGTGATTCTCTGGCAAAGCGAGGCAGTGTAAGGGACTTCTGCTTACCTTTTCATTGTGCAAGATACCTTGTGCAGTGTTAGATATAGGAGAAACTTCCATTATGTAAAGTAAAAATATTTTGATTGCTCTGTCTTAATTTTATTCACTTTTATGTATACCAATTACTCCATGTTTGTTTTCAGCAAAGGAATCCTTCCTAAATCTAACACTTAAACTGTTGCAGAGGGACTGTGTAACTTCTAAAAGTCAAGAGCTTTCCATGTCTGCGACTTTAAATGAAATAGCTTTTTGCTTTCCTGTATGTGTGTCATTAGTGGAAGTAAGAACAGTGGAATTTAGTGTTTTGTTCCATGTTTGTACTTACATCCGATACAAGTTTCCGTGCACATCAGTATTTTTAAAACACCGTGTAGTGTTTGCACTGCAGTTGCACAACAGTTGCAGTTGTTTGGGGCAAGAACCCTGTATTTTATAGGTTCCTTGAAGAAGCTCTGTCCTGTGTATAATCAAACTGCTGCCCTGTTCTCTAGAGACGATGCTGTGTGCCCAGGTACAAGCCTAATCTGGAGAACAAGTAATGGAGGGCAGTTAGTCTTCCGATACCAAAAAAAGCTTCTCTGAAAATTCACCAGTATAGATTAATTGTTCTTTACAGGTAAAGGATATAATGCCAGTTTTTTTTCTGCTCTGTGGTGGTTTTTTTCAGAGTTGGATGCTTCCCTGTGACAGAGTGACATTTTTATTTTAATATTACATCCAGTGGCCAAGGCCTTCTGCATTAGTATCATTAGCTTGCTGATGGTCCTTTCAGAATTAAGTATCTCAGTGCTCAAATACTCATTTTTCCCTGCACAGCCTATAAGACAGAAGAAAGGAGAACTGAGCCAATAGGCATGTTGCAGCAGTACTATAATTACTATTACTACTTTTTTTTTTTTTTTTTTTTTTTCCTTTTTAACCAACTGATTCAGTCTCAGTGGATAGTCAGTAACATTTTTGCTGGAAGAGGAGACAAGGTAGGACAGTGTGTTCATAGGAGGAGAAAGGCTATTTGCTTTGCGTTGGGATTTTCTTTTCCTAACACATTTCAAATGTGTCTTCTTCCTATTGAAACTCAGAGTTTCATTGTGAACAACTTCGGCTGGGTTGGAAGGACAGAAACATGAACTGCAGTCATGCCTCCGGCATGGCTCAAAGGCTGTTCCCTGACACCAGTGCATTCTTCCCTGCCCCTGGATTTAAATATATGCTGAACAGAATCTTGTCACGGAGCAGGGGCTAAGGATGTACAGCTTGCATCTGTGTGTCCAGATAAACATCTTGCATTTAAACTTTAGAGAGAGAATGTCAGAAAATTACAATTAATTATGGATTCAAAATACTTCAGAAGAACAAAGTTAACATTATTATATTGAGTTTTTATTTTAAAATTATGGCTTTGGACCACAGAATTAGGGAGTGAAAGCCCATTTTAACTAACTGTTGTAATATAACATATTTGAGATTAATGTTAAAATGAGCTTAAGAGAAACAACAAATGGGAATATACGGAATAGGAGGAAGAGTTGTGTGACACTAGATTGTCACAGCAGAGCACGCTTTGTGTGGATGACACTGCTTATAGTCTAAAGGGTTGCTTTGACTATGTGATCGAAGACATCATGTACACACGGGCTAGCAAAAATACTGATCTGAATCAAATCTTGGACAGATGAAGAATCTCCTAATTTTTAAGCTACTGGCATGCAAGAATAATTTTTCTGAAATTGTATGTGCCATGCTGGGGGACTTGCAATCTTAGCCTGACAAGTGAAGGCTGGAGTCCAGCACAGAAGTGTTGTTCATTGTTTTACAAAAGATTGCAGCTGCTATTGGGCTTATTTACTGTTTCCCGTGGATAGTGAAAAGATCTTTCAACACAAAATTGCTGAAACATGTTTCCATTAATATTAGGTCATGCTTGTTCCCCACTCTTCTCCTCCCCCCCAATAACTCTGGAAATTTCCTTACAGGGTATTTAGCTGGTGGATGATAAGTACATCAAAAATCTTTGTTGTTTTACCAGGCATGGTCTTAGCTTACTTTATCTTGGGCAGCTTGCTTGTTTTACTCCTGTCTGTTTGTCTTTGAACATAGCAAAATCTGTTTGTTTTGTATTTTTCTTTAAAATACTGGGTTTGCAATGTTATTGGGAATACTTAAAAAATAGTCTAATTTTGAAGGGCTTTTATCATGATGGTTTACAAAAAAAAAAATCCAAAAAAGACTGACTGAATTAGACAGCTGGCTCATTATATACTCGCGATAACTTAAATTTGTGCATAAAAATTCCAGTTTACCAAGCAGTTTAGAGGAGGCAGTACATGTGAGCATCATTTTAGTCCTGCAGTAAATTAGTAAAAATTTTCAATTCACAAAACTTCTACTGAAAATTCCGTTTGTATTTAATTGCTGTCAGGGCAGATACATTAAATTTATCCACAAGGTGAAATCTGGCTTTGTGCTTTTACTTCCTACTGCTGAACACCTGTTGTCAGGTTGTGATACCTGCAGCGTCAGCAGCCCCTTAATCCCTTTGAGGATGGAAGTTTTTTTGGCAGATGGCTTGGGGCGGGCTGGTTGGTTTGTTTTAAACTGAGGAATCTGTACAGGTCTTTTGTCAGTTACACCACTAATACCTTCACTTTGTTAACAGAAAAAAGTGTAAGTAGGAGTCTTCTTGAAAGAACAAGATAAAAGAAAACTTGATTTTTACCTAGAGTAGCTGCATGTAATGTGTGGGATGGAGGGAATCTTTATTTGGAATTGCAATTCAAAATCCTCTGTGGAAAAAACCCTGGCTTTAAATGAAAGAACTGTGCATCAGAGTAAAAAGTGTATTGTCAAGACAAACTTCAGTTTTAATTCTTTATCTTCAGTGCTCACCATGGCCTGATACTCCTACAACATTTGTGAACAACAGTCCTACTCCTGCTCCAACTTTTACCTCTGCTCAGCATAATACCTACAGTGTCCCAGACAGGTAGGTTTCTTCTCTGTATCCTAATTAAAGATAATATTTTAAAAGCAGGCTTATTCAAAAGTATTTTTGGAGTAAATCCAACTTTTTTCTGATCCCACTGGGGATCAAGAGATTATTTTGACCTCTGTATTTATTTTGGACATTTGCATCATGTGATTATTTTTTTTTTAATCTGTAGCAATTCTTCCTCCCCAAATCATCAAGGAGATGGAACCTCTCAAGGGTCTGGAGATGTGAGTGTTTGCTTTCTGGTGTTGAACATGGCTGTGTTTGTATTTGTGTCAGAACATTTGATTTATACAGACCTTGATATTCATAGGTACTGAGGGAGGGTTTAACTGAGGGAGGGTTTTTAATGGTTTTGGGGTTTTTTTAGTATCCAAGTTACCATATCCAATCCTGTTTCTTACAGCAGCTTCATCCTTCTGCCACAATCCAGGAAACTCAGCAATGGTTGCTCAAGCATAGGTTCTCTACCTATACAAGGCTTTTTTCAAATTTCTCAGGTATCTATAGTTTACTTTTTTTATTTAGAGTCTTTGGGCTAATGAGCAAGTTTTGTGTGGGGAAAGATCTTTTCTTAGGTGTTGGATTTCATTGTAGTGTATGAAGCTTTCATCCTTCCAAACTCTGAAGCTGTGAATCATCGTCTTATTCACAGAAATAGCAAATTCTTTTTTGTATCAAGCTGTGTTTCAGTGCCATGCAACAGGAGAATACCTCTACCTACCTATATTTGCCTTTTTATTTTTTTAAAATTTCAACAGAATGTCTGATTGCTCTTCCTTAAATGTGTGTCAGTGTACTTTCCACTATATGTAGGGAAGCAAGAAATGGCAATAGATGCACAATCTGGGGCTGTAATTTGGAGTTTGCTTCTTTAACCTTCCATGTAATTGTGCAAAGACTGGGATGACACAGTACACACCAGGAGTAAAATTCCATCTCAGGTTTTCTGTGATGACACGATGGTTGTCAATTTATTTTTAAAGTATAGGTGTTCTAAAACAGTCTTCATAAAGTCCTCATGTTTCTTCAGGTGCTGATTTATTAAAGCTGACAAGAGAAGATCTGGTACAAATCTGTGGTCCAGCCGATGGAATTCGGCTATATAATGCACTGAAATCCAGGTGAGATGGGGAATGGGGGGTTGAGTGGGGTTTGTTCTGACATTTACTAGAATCCCCTGTCGTTAGAACTGGGAGACCTGGGAAGTCAGGGCTCAGAAACCTGCATTCGTGGCATATCGGTTTCCATATTTCCAGGGCAAGGCACCTTTTCTCTGATCCGTGGTTTGTTGAATTGCAGGTCTGTTAGGCCCCGTTTAACAATCTACGTCTGTCAGGAGCCATTACGGAGCATACAACTGGAAAGACCAGACGCAGGCAATGGCGATAGCAGCAATGGTGCAATATACGGTATGGTGCAGGGGGGGGCTCTTAGCTTACCATTGCTGTGTCTTAAAAAGTCTGAAACAAGATAGATGGGAAGGAAAAAAGAATAGTGAAGAGGCTGAATTTGTGTTTCTAGTGTACAGAGAAACCATAGGAAGTTGTAATCAGAACAACATTGCTGTTGTAATACTGCATGGGATGAACAGAACCTTAAAACCTCTCAAGGTGAAATGATTGATTGATTTATAAGTCCGTTGATAAAACTAACTAGTTATGTGGTAATTAAGGAGCTCCCAAATGAGATGTGCTATGTTGTTACAGCCAAGGTATTAACCAGATAAATGTAGGTGTGTATAAAAGCTATGTGCAAATAAAACACTTGGATTCTTTCCCATGTTGTTGGGTTTTGCTGTCATTTTCTGTGCAGCTGAACTCAAACTGTAGGCTTGGTCAAGGAAAAGTGTTTAGCTTTTAAAATTTTTTAAAGCTAAGGGATAAACAAATTCAGATTTTTTTTTTCATATAGTTACTTGTTATCAGTTAGGACTGTGCTTATTTAAATAATTATTTTTTCTTGTAGTTTATCATGCAATCTACTTAGAAGAAATGACAGCTTCAGAAGTCACCCGCAAGCTTGCTTTGGCATTTAATATTCCTTTGCATCAGATCAACCAGGTTTACAGACAGGGTCCCACAGGTATCCACATCCTTGTTAGTGATCAGGTAATGGAAATTTTATTTATGATTTCTTAAATAGAATGGAGGATTTTTCTTATGCTTGCTGCTTCATTGCTGTTTTTTTCTGTTTGGTATTGCAACCTAGTATTTTCTGACATTTAGAGTATTTTTTCCTTTACATTAAAATGAGCAGAAGGATCTTTTAAAATGTCACTCTACCTGAATAAATTCAAATTATGAGAAGAGAAAGGCAACTGCTGTGCTGCAGTAATTACTGAGGATGTATTTATTCTGAACATGTCCAAAGGCAGGGAGCGTTTAAGTACTGTTGAACTCAGCTTATTCAAGCACCTGCTACACTTTTAGAGTTCCAAAAACACAGTCAACAGGGGTGTCACATGATGAACAAGTATTTTGACAGCAATATATTTTAATTTAGTTTGGTATGTACTTGTTAGTCATTGAATAAACTCCAAAATACGCAGTTGCTTATGAAGGGCTGTGTTTAATGTCTGATCTATTTTTTTTTTGCATTGGTCATACTCAGGAGGGTTTCAAAACTTTTTTTTTTTTTGTAGATGGTTCAAAACTTTCAAGATGAGAGTTGTTTCTTATTCACCACAATAAAAGGTATGGTGTCTTTTCTGACAGTCTAAAACACAATTGTTTATTCTACAAAGGAGCCTTTCATAGAATCATAGAATCACAGAATGACCCGGGTTGGAAGGGACCTCAAGGATCATGTAGTTGCAACCCCCCTGCCTGGCAGGGCCACCAAACATACACATTTACTAGATCAGGTTGCCCAGGGCCCCGTCCAACCTGGCCTTGAACACCTCCAAGGACGGGGCATCCACAACCTCCCTGGGCAGCCTGTTCCAGGGCCTAACCACTCTCCTAGTAAAGAACTTCCCCCTAACATCCAACCTAAATCTTCCCTCCTTCAACTTGTATCCATTTCCCCTAGTCCTGCTATTGTCGGCCCTTTCAAAGAGTTTACTCCCCTCCTGGGTGTAGATTCCCTTCAGGTATTGAAAGGCTGCAATGAGGTCACCCCGCAGCCTTCTCTTCCCCAGGCTGAACAAGCCTAACTCCCTCAGCCTGTCAACTCTGTCAGCCTTTAAAGCAGAACACTATTAAAGTAAAACTTCCTGAAGGAAAGAGTAATGGGAGATGTAGTGAAGGCTGACTTGTGAAAAAAAAGAACAAAAACCTGCATCCAGTAGGCAGAAAAGTGTATTCAGCACAAGTAGGAAGTTTTCACAAGCTATGTTTTTGCTGTAGATGAGCTGTATTTTTAAAGTCTGCTTCACTTTACCAGCATCCCAACTTGAAACTAATTGTTCTCTTCAGTATAAAATCTGTTCACTTTGTTAGTGATGGTTATTTGTCTCAGTTGTGAAGCCTTTTGGTGGTATTGCTGCTTCTAGGCATAAAATCCACAGAGTGGTTTGGTTTTTTTTGACACTGTTTTCATTTGACTTTCTAGTTTAAGGCTGAGCATCACAAAATAGATGATTAGAAACATGCTAAGGATTTACCTTCTGCAAGACCAATACAACTCCTCCTATGATATTAACTGTCACTGTCACATGAGATGGGTTTAATGCATAGTAGGAAGAGTTCAGAAATAACTGCAAAGAAATTTAGAAGTTATTCTTCAAGCGTTTAGTCTGAATAGCAGGTTACTGAAATGTCAAGTTCAGTATTTCATAGTAGTAATGAACCACATGTACACAGTAAAAACCAAGCCCATGCTTTGATGTTTTGGTGCCTTGGTTACTAGTGTATTTATGGTTTGAGTTACAAAGACTGACAGTTTTTTTTCTTTTCCAGCTGAAAATGGTGAAGGCTTCCATATAATCCTGAAGTGATGTCACACAACTGCTAGACTGATCCTCCAATGCAGAATGAGGTCCTGCCTAAAGATTATGAAGATCATCCAAAACCTTAGGATCTAACTTCACCATATAAGATGTTTCATATTGAAAACACAAAATGACCTTTCTAATGAGCTGTTTGAGAGGTGAACTTTCTTATCACTGCCATAGCTAAGTGTCCTCATGAGAGGTATAATGCCATGACAGCTTACGTACAGGCATGGGAGACAATGCGAGCAAAGGTGCTTGCCCTTTACGGAAATAAGGCAAATCACGGCCAGTAGATACAGTTTCTAGAAGTGAAGCACTGCAGCTTTTCTATTACCTGTATCCAGTTGGAGAAGAATGTAAACTCATTTTGGGGCATTTACCTTTCTGTGCCAGTTTGTCTATTACTTGCTTGTACCTTACGCTGGTTTTATTTTTTGATGTTAGCAGAGCACATATTAATCTGTGTGGAGATGAGTAGTTAAGCTGATAGTGATCAGGTTGTCGGGTCTTTGCGAGTAAAGCTGTCAAAACAGCTTCCCGTGTAAATTGTGTATAAGAGTGTATGTAAGAAGTGTAAATGCCAGAACAGGGCTTTTAAGAAGCCCTAGACAGATGCAATATATGCATGCAGCAAACTGCATTCTCAATAGTACCTTATTGGAGGGATTAATACAAATCCTATGGGGTACCAAGTAACTGTGTTTTGCTTTAACAAATTTAATGGAAAAGAATTGCCTGTGCATCCTTTATGTTTAGTTTTCTAGGTTCTCTGCGGAGCACTGCTGCAGTTTTAACTCTTTGCTTGTAAAATCGTGGGTTTACAAATACTAGCAGCGAGAGGTGGATTTTCATGATTTAGTGGAATTATGTTGATGAGGGAAGATGACCCACTAGCACCACGGGGCTGTGATAGCTTTCAGCAATGTCAAATAAATTGCTTAAAAAACACTAAGTATTCACCATTTTAGTCTCCTTACCAGCAGGTAAATGCCTTGCTGTAGTTGCCATTACGGACAACTATCTCTTACCTTTTCTGTTGTCCTTTCCCTGCCCTCTGTTCCATACTGTACAGCTGTTACAGTGCCTCTTCCATATGACCAAATATTTCCTTTGAAACAGGCAATGTGCTTTTTCAATATTTTGGATATTTCATGTAAAGACATGGCACAGCATTTCCTACATTAACATTAAGTTTCCATGGGTTAGGTACTTCAAGGGGAATATTTCAAAAGGAATTAAGTGACAGTTTCACAGCTGTCATTTTGTACCTTTGAGAAGTTCCACCTTGATCTCTGGCTTAAAAGCTTGGGAGTAGTTTGCTTTTTATGCTGCAGAGTTCAATGTAAGCAACTACTACAGCATGTAAAAAAAAAAGCAACTTTGATTTTTTTCATTCTCCCTTTCATAACTGGCTCAAGTGCTTAGCAGAAACGCTTATTAAAAGCTGTAGCATTTTGAAAATTTAAATTCATCAAAGCTAGAGTTTCTTTACCTTTTTTTTTTTTCTGCACTGAAAGTAAAATTTTATGTGCTTAAACATTTCTGCCTATAATTTGTTCATCTTTGGGTATTGTTTGGTCCTAGTATGTTCTTGAACCAACTCTTGTTCAAATCCAAATGTTTTATAAAAGTGGAAAAATCCTTGATTGGAAAGTATCCAAATATTGAATTTTAAAGAATATTGAAAGTTGTACAGTAGTTTGTCCACCTCACATGAAATTGGAATTAAATTATGGCACCAGCAAATTGCTTTTGTTTTTTAATAAGATGTACACATTTCAATTTAAGTATAATAAATGTTTTTCAATAATTTTGTAAATGTGCTTTCTTTTTGTTTACTTTTTTTTTCCCCACACACATTAGAGATCCTTCTGTTGTTATGTTTTAGATTAACTGTAAGACCTACCTTAGCAGTAATGGTAAGTAAAGGTCAGTAATGGAAGCAAACCCGCGCTGTAGTTCATCCACCATCCAACGTGCGCATAGATCTTCTGCTTCTAATAGAAAACTGCATTAAATTTGAAATAAGGGAAACAAATTTAAATTTAACATCAGTTGATTGTTTATTTAGGTGTCCTGGATAAGAGTAGGTTCCATTTGGTTTTGTACATCTTCAATGCAACAGACTTACAAGGTTCATTATGATCTTGGAAAACAAATGAGCCAACAAAAGGCAACACATCTTGACATACGGATACCAGTGACTTCCCTGGTACAGCTGAGAATAAAATCTGCTTAAAACACTCCATTGCAGCAGTGTCTGAATAGAACTCATAAGTATGATTGTAACAACACTCCTCCACTACTGTGCAAAACAAGCCCGGACTGGCTTCTTTTGGAGTAATAAAGAAATCCATGTACTGCACTCTAATCTGTAATTTATCCTCTAAGGTGAGATCTTAATTCACCGGCCCTGTTGTCTGCAACTGTGTGAAGTGTGAACACAACAGCCGCTGTTGTCCATAAAAGTCTCTTCATGTTCATGCTCCTTGTAAAAAGTAGCTTAAAATTTTTGGGGAAATTGCAGTACTATCCAGTAGTAGCTTCTCCAACTGCTTTTTAAGCCAGTATTTCTGTTAATTTCCAGTAAACACACAAGCCCTGAACTCTTAAAACACACACAGACACAATCAATCTTACACAAAAAATCTTTCTGAACTGTTGAGTAGTTTATCTCAGCTAATCAAGTTGCTTAATATAAAAAAAGTTTATCTAACCCTCTAGCACTGAAAAACTAAGGATGGAAGCATGGCCTTAAGAGTTAATACACAGATTTTATTATTATCATCATTCAGAAGTTTACAGCTTCTTAAATAACCCAAATGTAAAGAGTTTGGCTTTACTACATTTGAAAACCACAGGTTTGGTTTGGTTCAGCTCCTGCCTACAGCTCTGTTTGCCCACCTGCCTGCCGTGTCCCTAAAATGGGAGGAACAACCAGCTGGAACTGAATTCCTCCCTCCATCATAGTTCCTGTACCTGAACCTGATTTCCATTCTTCACCTGTAGAAAAGCATGAACAACACACCCCTCTTCTAGAACTGCTGCGTCCTTTCCTTACAGACAGGCGGTAACTGAGGACGCACAGGAGGGGCATTGCAGTAAGCACCATGTACAAGTGTGGCAGCCGCTTACAGCCACGTGCACGAGCTCTGCCACAGTGGATTTCTTAGTCCTTTTAAAGGCCGATGGCATGGGGCAGAAAACGTGCTTCAGGGACGGGCAAGCTTTATACTAACACACAGTTCAACAGAACCAAGTTCAACAACTTGGGAAGTATTTATATAGTTATCTTGAGGTACTATCTCACCTTTTGACATTACCTATGATGTCGTGTTACGTAATTAAATACAAAGCTGAATCATGGAAAAGTATAAGCTGTTTTGCTGTCAGAGCTTATGATTACCTTGCATTTTTTTTTTTTTTTTTGGTCAACATCTGCTAAAGCTGATTTGTCCTTAAACCTGATACTTAATCTGTCGTGTACATTACAGACAAGCGGGTTCAGTTTCTTGGTGTGACAGACTTCAGCCCCACCTTACGGCAGATCATCACACTGAGCAGTGCTTACAAACGCAAATTAACTTCCAAGTTCAGTGAACTCTCATCAAGTAGCTGCTGTGCTGAAATGCCCCCACATTTTACACGGTACTTCAGTTCTCATGCCAACAGAAGGAAAGAGTTACAATACAAACCGAAGCATCACCAACTTAATCCACAGCTGCACATTACATTAAGATTTTTACCTGGACAAAAATGCTTTTCTCGTCACAAAACCGGATGACCAAACACCACCATTAGGACTGCCAGGAAACTGACTCCTTCCGCTGACTTGCAGTCCTGTTCTTTTGTTCATCATCAACAACAAAATTTTATGTGTGGTTGCACTTCCTGTCAAAGAATAATACAGCATCTGCAGAGGCGCTGTCCGCTCCCTCCTACTGACGGAGGGGGAGTTACCGGAGCAAAGTAAGCATGAACCTTCACGTGAGGTAGATGAGCCTGTGGATGAAAAGTCTGCATCATAATGGGGCAGAAATAAACATAACTCGTAAAAAGAAGCAGTACACCTCCCTTACTGCCAGCAAGCGGCCTCCCATTGAAGTCGGTTAGCTGAAAAGCATCTACACGCTTGATACCAGTCCAGGGCATCTGCCCTCAGTACTATCAGGGATGAGTTTCCAATTGTGAAAGCGTTTGGACACAAATCTGGGATACGAAGTTGCAGACAAGTTTGACATTAGGACTAAAACACTGGCCCCCCGCCCCCCCAAGGTGGGTGGTCCCTGACCTAACAGAGGGAGGAAAAGTTTGTGGCTGGATTCCAGTGACTGAAGGCCCTACAACCCATGAACAGAAATCTCCATGCAGATGTTTTGCTCCTGGCTCTGTATATTAAGGTGTATTTTAGGAGAGTTACAAGAATGTCACTACACAATTCTAAAACCATAGAAGCCTGTATTTGAAAAAATACAGAAAGCAGAAAATAAGCACTTGTTATTCCAACAGCAAAAGTGCCATGAGTTATAAACCGAATTAGGCACTTATTACTGCTCATCTAGAAAAGCTACATTTAGTCTCTAGAGGTGGGGACCTAACAGAATGATACCACATTCTGTTTTTACATCCTCCCTTGCCTGGGATACCTGCAGGGTTCATACAATCTCGAGCAGTATTGACAGCTTGGGCATTCCCACTGGAACAAGCCAGTAAACACGTACCCTGATTCGTTTGATTCCAGCTCGCGTGACTTGCTGACAGTCGTACAGCTCGATTCTCTCCAAGTTGTGGCAGTTCTCCAGGTGTTCCAGAGTCACGTCAGTGATGAGAAGACAGTTATCCAGTTCCAGTACCTGCAGCCTCTCGTGACCACATGTACTGTTGCTCAGATGAAGAATCCCGTCATCAGTGATCAATTCACAGTGAGATAAGCTCTGAAACAGAGAGGCAAACAGGTTAAGGACATCACTCAGTTCTAAATTACTCTGTCCTCTAAACATCAGAAGTCCCTCCAGCCTCCTTCATTCTCATGGTTAAACAAAAAATAGGCAGCTGAAATCCAGAAGAGTACCAAAAGAAACAGCTCTCTTTAACAAGAGCAGAGCTGTATTTTCTTTCTAACTTTGCTTCAAAACAAGTACAGTCCCAAAACGTGTCGCTGGCAAACTCCTCCAGCCCCGTTACTCTCTATGAATGTGGGAATTCTCTTCCAATTGTCACACACCTCCACTATTGATGGGTGCAACCACGAGACGTGCTGTGCCACAAACAGAAGACAACTTTAAAGCACAAGCAAGAACACAGGGGAATAGCTGAGGATCTACTGACAGGAGTTAGTTTCACAGCTGCCATGTTTTCATACATCCCACTGGGACCAAGCCCATGCAAGTCCACCCAAAGAACAGAGTGGACTGATTTGCCAAATGATTTCAGGAAAACCACTGAATGCTTAGCACCTCAGCCAGTACATACAAGGAGTAATAAACATCTTGTACAGCTGGAGGAGCAGGTCTTTCCTGCAACAGTCAGCATAATAAAAACATTCTGCTCCTTTTCAGCATATTTTTTTACTCCCTTGAATTTCTAGAGCGTGGAAAAGTTGCAGCATCTTGGGCAGTAGCACCACATAAAGCAGTTTCCTGGTTCCTTGAGGGAATTCATGACTTTTGGAGATGCAATGACAATGACAACAGGAAACAGACTTTCCTCGGAGGAGGCTTAAAACCCCCTCTTTGTCGACAGTGAAATGAACACTCTCAAGTCTCCTGCTCTAGAAATGTGCGGGATCCATGAACGCTACTCCTCTTGCCCTGGGCTCTGAGCTCTTTGCTTTCTGCTCAGCCCTGTCTCTTGCCTGTGCTTGTACCTAAGTTGAACGGTAACTGGTTTGGAACTCTTTAAATACTTCAGTTCTCTCCTGTACCTACTCTCTTCGTGTACATGCTCTGAGCATCTGATTTGGCTCACAGCCTGGAAACAATCAGCAGTTGCAGGGTTAAAGAACATCTCTAGCAGACCTGCTGTTTCAAGGAAGGACAGGAGGTTATGGGAAGCTGTCGGCTACAGCAGCAGTCTGCTGGCTAATTAAGAGTTTTCCATCCCGGGAAGTAAGCAGCTTATAAAATTCATCTTTCCTGAAACACTGTGTTTGGTACTGAAAGGACGATACGGGATGTACAGCTGCGTATGCAGGACTTTGTAAAACAGATCTGCCAAATGAGACATACTTTGTACTAAACGATTTTTTTCTGACTTCATAAGCCTGTTTAAAAGTGTTAATAACATGGAACTGATGAAGATAATTACTGGAAATGTTTAGAGCAAAAAGACTGGTAAAATTCTTTTTTTGTTAAGTGCTGTGTATAAATCAGATATAGCATGACATACAGTGACAGTGAGAAACAGTATGACCACCATAACTGAGGAATTTAGCTGTCTTCTCATCTCCAGGAATATTATGAGTATCGCACAGTTTCTCTAATAATCTAATTGTACAAACGTTAAAACACTTTCACCACAAATTACTTCTTAAGTCCAGTAAGTAATAAAGCATTTGACTACTCTGATACTGATGAAGATGTAACAGTTGGTTCTAACAAATGAAGAAAGAAGAAGGTATGTTATTTTACCAATACGACACTTCCCTGTCTGTGGGCTAACACACAAAGGCCAGCCATCAGGAGCAGGTTCAGAAAAAATACTTGGAAATTATGAGGTTTTATATCTCTGGTGAAGCACTGGCAGAACTGGTACAAAACACCTCTTGCAAGTACTGGTTACAATTGGGATTACAACACAAAAACA